AACTGAACAGCACAGCCTACAAAGCAACACAGATTGTTATTATAGTATCAAATCACGGAAGAAAAACTATTCTAAGTGTTTGAATGAAGTCTACTGTCTCTAATATTCTGCCCAGAGACAGTCCTTACTTGCGTAGTGGAGGTGAATAGACATGGGGTTAGACCAGGGGTGGGCAAATATGGGTCACAGGTCAGATTTGGCCCACACACTGATTGGATCTGCCTACAGAGGGGTTCCAGCTAATTGATTAGATCCAGTCTGTGACTGCCCTTGTAATGATCCACAGCAGGCTGAGTCCTACCTAGGGTAGCCTGTGATGCACTCCAGCCTGTGCTCACCACCCGGCCCCAGCCATTGAGCACAGCTCCCAGTGCAGCTGCTACTCAGCTCCCTTCACCTCCAGCGGCAGCTCTTCCTCCCGCTGCACTGCTCTGGGCAAGGAGGAAGCTTCAGCCAGACAGGTCCTGCCCCAGCATGCAGAGCTCTAGCTCCAGCTCTCAGCTGCTTTCCACCCATTCTGCCCACCCGACATGAGCCACCAAGTGTGTGGAAGACAGCTGGGAACTGGAGATAGAGTCTCACGTGCTAGGCAGGAGCCACCCACTGGAAGCTGTATATCAGTATATACAGCTTCCAGTGGGTGGCTCCTGCCTAGCAAGTGGGACTCCGACAGGTGTGGACTGGAGCATGGTGTGGGTTGCTCCAGATAGGGCTTGGCCCCATGTGGAGGGCTGTGGGGGTAGCCATGGACTGCACTGCCCAGGTGAGCTCTGCTGCATGCACCCCCTCCCCTCTCCTCACCCCCAGCCAGCTCTCAGGACCTAGCACTCAGGCAGCCCCTCCGCCCACACACACACACACACACACACAAACACGTGACGGTGACTCCTCACACTCCGCATACTCACCCTCCACACTCCCCCTACACGGCACGGCCTGCCCCATGACCCTGCCCTGCGATGCCTGCCCCCGAACACTGCTCCCTTCTTTCCCATGACCCCATCCCATACAGGGAATTGTAGTGAGCTGTTGCAGCTGTGGGTGGGGGGGAGGTAGCGCTGACCCAACCCACAACAACTCATCAAAACTCCTTATGTGGCCCTGGGCTCCAAACAATTAGAGATGTGCAAAATTTCACTGGCAGTTTTGTTTCAACGCTGTTTCAACTCGTTTTGAGCTCAAAACAGAGAAATTGAAACAAAACAGAGAGCTTCGAAACAGCTTCAAAACAAAACAAGGCAAGTCAAAATGTTTTGAAGTTTTTGAAGCATTTCAAGTTTCGAAGCTCAAGCTGGGCTTACTTGCAGGGAAATAGAAACTAAAGTAAGGAGAGGGAGGGGGAAGAGAGGGTAAACGGGGGAAGGAGTGCTCTCATTATTGACTGTGTAGCTGGCCACTGGCTGTCACCCTTCCCCGAGGTCTCTTCCAATCCCAGTGCTCTGGCGGAGGAAGGGAAAAACTGCGTAAAAGGCAGCATTGTTCGAGCTGCCCTGCTTTCTGCCTTGGGGTCAGTTAATGAGCTGTGTGTCCCGGTTTTATCTGTCAGCAGCCAGAGGTGCAGGGCCCCAGAAGCCAGACTCCCCCTGCACCGATCTCCTTGACAGCTGGCAGGCTTCATGGCTAAAGCAGGGCCCAGCAAGCCTGCAGTTTTCACCCCCCTGTGCCCCCAGACAGACACAGTCAGTTGCACACGTACCCATGTCACGAGTTTTGCTTGTCAGCAGCTTGAGGTGCAGTTTCCCAGAAATCCCTGCATGTATCTCCTTGAAACCTCACAGGCTTTGTGGCCTCCGCAGGGACTAGCCAGCCTGCAGTTTTGACTCCTCTGTGACTTAACACATACATGTGACATGAGTTTTGCTTTCAAGATTTTGAGGTGCATTTTCCCTGTAACTCCTGCATCTATCTCCTTGAAACTTGGCAGGCTTCATGCCCGCAGAAGGGGCTACCATTCCTGCAAGTTTCATCCAAATCAGGCCAGAAATAACATAGTTATAGGCTGTTTCAAGTTTCCCCATTATAGCCTATGGGCAAAATGTCAAAACAGCGAAACTGTGTTGACGAAGCGAAACAGAACAGCGGTTTCGAATCAAAACAAAATTCAAAACAAAACGCTGCTGTGTCAAAACGCAAGTTGAAATGGAATGGTGTCATTTTGCACAGCACTACAAATAATTGCCCACTCCTGGATTAGTCTCTGTTAGCTAACATAATGTTAACTACATTTCAAGATTTTTCAAGAGAAAGCTAATAAAACTGTTGATAGTGGGATTGTGCAGAAAAGCTCTGAGCTAACTGGATCCCAAAGCAGGCAATATGGGTTTCCAAATGTCGTTTGTAGGTAGGGAATGTTCAGTTTTTCTGGCCTTCACTTACCTGACATCCTTTTCTCATATAATAATGATGCATTGCATATCGTTTCTTAGGGGATTATAACTCACCTTTAAGTGCCCATAAATATTACTGCAGCTGGACATCTGCATTTTAAAGGAAAAGCACGATGCTGAGATTTATGGATGGTCATTTGTACTGTCAGCTACTAACAGAGAAGACAGATTTTCTGAAGTGAAATACTAACCTTAAGAATCTCTTAAAATCTACCACAGGCTGCAATTATGACTCTTCTTTCTCTGTGCCAATTGGATAATTTGTCATCCTTTTTTGACAGACAATTCCTAGTACATTAAAGCAGATGTGGTGTTACTGTATGTGTAGATTTAGGAATGTTCTCATGGTTATTACGGTACCACACACCCTTTCTTTCCTGCTCTTTGAGAGCATAGGCAATTTTTCTCTAAAACCCTCCCATGAATGCTTGGTGGAGGTGTAAAGCTGGTGGATGTATAACATAGGCAGTTTTGCAAAAGTCATCATTAGGTCTCACAGGGGGAACTAGAGTGCTCCATGGGGAAAAGAATGCATGGCTGAAGCAACAGGAACTAAGGAGGAAAAAAACAAGCTAAGCAAACTGGAAAGGACAGACCAGGAAATTTCGAATTGCGAGAAACTGGTCTTAGAGTACACTACAAAAACAGGTCTCCTCTGCCTTCTTCATTTGTTCTAAGATCCCTAAACAACTGCCCTTGTAGCCTTCTCATTACAGTTAAAGAACTTCACCAGGCTTGTGTATCACTGAAATCCACATCAACTTTCAAAATGCAATCCATAGGCATTACACTGGCCTTCTCCACGGGCATGAAGTGCACACAAAGATAGCATTTTAAATTAAGAGACTATTTAATTAAAAATAGTAGATCTTGATGTGCTGCAAGGTACTGGTGAAGAAACATTAGATAAAGGGAGTTATTTCCCCAGCACCCAACTAGAGGTGTTTTTTCTGCTCATGGCAATGCATGGACCAGTGGCAAGAATACTAGCCAGAGATTCAGTGATGATCCTCTGCTTTGCTATTCCTATTTGATCTCTGGGCAAGTCATTTGCTTCTTTTCTGCAAGATGGCAACAACCATATGTCCCCGTTCCTGAGGGGTGCTGTGAATGCCAGCACAATTAAAACTGAGATGAATACAGATATGAAAACAACAATAAAAGAACCTTCAGATATGTCAAAAAGGCACCAGACAGTAGTATAGATACCCGATCTGTGGTTCATGAACCAAGTATGGAGTGGGCCTAGTGTGTCTCAACATGGTGCCTCCTGTTGTGTATACACATACAAAGCTGACTTAAAATACGGTGACTTAATCAAGTCAACTTAAGTTAAGCCATTTCAGAGCATATACACGTACAGAGCCTTGACACGGTGGCAGCCATCTTGTCAGCTAAGTCAACTTAACTAATGCAACCCAAGATAATACATCTTGCGCTGCATTTAAGTTGACTCTGCTCCACATATATATGTACACCCTGACAGTTGTAAACTGAAAAAAGTTATGTCTCTTTAACTGTTAGACATTTAGTACATATGTATGCACCCAATAAGATATATCCACATACAGATAGAACTTTAGTAAAGCCCTATATTTACCATGTCATTTCTGCTTTGATTTTTTTTATATATTCAAAATTTTAGCTGAACTTAGAAATGCAAGAGAAAAGTAACATTTGTTGCAGTTTAGATAATTACAACTCATCTCTCAAACTCTTGCCCATGTGAATGAAGAACAACACTCCTCGCAGGTTAGCACATTTTATTACACTGAAACTTATTTTACATGACTTAGAGTTAATAGTTAGGTTTTATTTGTTCATTTAAACTAATGGTATAATAGTAACTGTTGACATAAAATGAAAATATTACTAGAAATCATTATAATTATTAAATATATATATTAAGTACTTTATATGTTCCTTCTTAATTCTGATCTATATTAAAAGGCAAGTTAAAAGGGGGTGGTAGGGGATATGGCTTTAATATATTAACATTTCACCTCTGGAGACCCTGTCTCCAATCTTGTTTAGTTCACTGGTGCAATAAATTCAATAGTAGGCTACAGTAGACACACACCCACATCTATAATCCAGCATATGCCATAAGAGCCCCCTAGTATTGCCACAAGAAAGGAAGAGCATGTAAATGTGATATGCTGCATCAGATTCTTACTTTTCACTATTATTTCACCAAAGTATTTTCTGATTGTTTTGTAAATGTTGCATCTCAAAATCACTCCTGTCTGGTTATCAAAATTAACATGAAGAGACCAGCATTTAGTGTCATCCCACTCCTGTGTCTCAACAGAAATGGGCCCAAGAGTCCTGGAGCATCTAGTCTTCCTAAGCAGGCCTAATATAGGCCATCCCCAAGTATTCACTAACTCCTTACCATGCTCCTATGCTAATCATCAGGAGTCTGAAAATCTGTGCATAGATATGCAGTGTCTACACTGTGTTTTACAATGACACCAGTTCTCCTATGAATTTGAAATTATATCTAAATAGCCAGTGTTCGAATTACTCTGACTCTTGCGGGAGAGAGTGGGATTGGGGGGGGGGGGGGGGGAACAAAAATTGGCCTCCCC